TGATTTGGATGGGACCAAGTCATCACACAACAGACTGTTATTTCTACCTGTCACAATATCTAGAATCGCCCTAAAAACGAAGAAAACTGTGCAATATCCTAATTTACCATCTGATATAAGGCCTGTGTGTCATAGTGAAGAATTTTCGAAATCACTATCCACTATCTCCTAAGAATGTGAAAGTAAATGAAGATGAATGCTACAGTGATGAACATTCAGGAGCCAGAAGAGGGAATGTCAATACTTACCCCAAACTTTATCAAAAATTGCTCCAAATTGTTTCTTTAAATTTCTTGTAAAAATATAGTAAAATACTTATTGAGGTAGCATAGGTAAGATTTTCACTAATTACTCTAAATTTCCGATAATTGCAAAAGTTTAAATTTTTCCGGCATCTTCCTAAAACTACAAAATTGAAGAAAGAGATTTTTCCATCAAATAAAATTAGTTTCTCCATAGTGAGTTCTTTCATTAATGTCATGCACAAATTTTTGAAAATTTTATTTTTCGCGCAATATTGCGAGCTATGGGTGCAAATTAAAGAAATAACAGAAACAATATTTTGTTGAAAAAAATGGCTCTAATTTTTTTCTTTAAACATTTGTTAGGGATAGTGCTAAATGACTCTATAAGCTATATTCATGAATATTATTATTATTATTATTTAGTCACATGTACAATTACAATAATGTATGACAAGTCAATATGTCGTCTTGGGTGTAGAGAGTGAAGTTACAGTACTGTTCAGGAACAAAACTAGGGGCCATCTCAGCATTTACTCAGGGGACTAATGAAACTGAACAAAAACCTGATAGAGATTCACCGTCAACCTTATATCATCTTTTTTAATAAATGCTAAGAGGGTAACATGGGTTAAAAATATGTCATTTTAATTTTAATTCAAAACTATCCTATTTACTTTCCTGTATACATACGTATATTCAGAATAATATAAGTAGTGTGTGACAAGTTATGTAATGCTGAGCGAGAAAATGGCGAATTTTCCGCAGAAAAAAAATTATTGACAAGCCCTGAACGGGTAGTGAAGAAACCCAGAGTGAACGAAAAAGTGGATGAATCTAGTTGCTAAATTTAGGGAGGAAAATACTCCAACATGTGTATCCATATTTTGTTTGCCCTTGATACCGAAAAATAGATTGAAGGCAAAATGTCCGTCCGTCTGTCTGGTGTATGTGTACAACAGTAATGCCTGAACTATGTGTGCGATTTTACTAAACTGAATAAACCTTTGTCAATCTGGCATGAGTCAACGCTCTGGGTTTTGAAAAAAAACAACAAATTTTTGGGGCTATTTCTGACATTTCCAAAATTTTCTTAAAAATGACTCCAAATTTTTTCATTTAATTTATTATAAGAATACAGCAAAATACACTAAGATAAGGATGCCATAATTCCGATTTCCACTGTTAACTGTGAATTTTCGATAGTTGCAAAAGTTAGGGGTTTTTTTGGCACCTTCCTACAACTACAATATTAAAAATACCTTTTTCCTTCAAATAAATTTTTTCTATAATTAGTTCTTGTATTAAGGTCATGTACATTATTTTGAAAATATGAGTAGTGTTCACGCAATATGTTCAGTATTAAAAATAATAAACAAGATTTTCTCGAAAACTGCTCCCAATGTTTTCTTCAAATTTTTGGTAGGGGTTGTGTTAAATGTTCTCTATGAGGTATCATAAACACTATATTGCTCTATTCTTTTGCTTATTCAAAAATTACATTTTTTTTACATCTCTCATGTCGTTAATATTTACATTATTGCATTTACGAGTTTATGTTCGTTAAATTATTTCTGTAAAATTTCTCGTAAACTCAAAGGTTCTGTTTTTAATGAGCTTAAATTTTCGCATTTTCACAAACGCTCATTGCAACAGCATTTTCATCAAAAACAGCACCAAATTCACACTTTTGGTAGGGGTAGTGCTGAATGTACTCTGAGACGACATAAACGCGATATTGCTCTATCCTTGCTTGTTTTCTTCAAAAATTTTTTTGTATTAGCATTTTATGTTGTTAATATTAACATTAGCGGTGATTTGTTCACATTATAGCAGTTACAAGAACGTGTACTTTATAATTGATTCTCTATAAAATTTCTCAAAAACTGACAAATTTTCTGAGAAAATGAGCTCGAAATTACACATTTTCAGAAACAATGAGATGTATTACTTTAAAAGAAAAAGAACAAAAAATGCTAAACATTTTTTCTTCAAAATATTTGTTTTGATGGTGCTGATTGCACTACTTAAGATGATATAAAATTAATATTTGTGTATTTTGTTTTTTCAAAAATTACAGAAATTTAATTTTTTAAAATATTTCTCACGCCATTAATATGCATATTTTCAGCGATTTGTAAACACTATTGCATTTTTGAGTTAAAATTCTTCAAATAACTTCAAACCAAATTTTTCAAGAACTCGATAGTTTTCTGTGAAAATGAGCTTCAAATTTCGCATTTCCAGTAACACATACATGCTGTTTACTTAAGAGCAGCTTCTAATTTTTCAATGAAAATTGTCATTTATAACGAGGCTTTACTGTTCTTAATATTCTTAAAATAATATTTCTGTTCTTCTATTAGGAAACCAAAAAATTGAGAATTTTTAAAAAAAATTTAGTTTGGCGGCGATAGATGACAGCTGGCAAGTCAAAATAGCTAGCCCAGAACAAAATAAATGTAAAGTCTGTGCCATTCTGAGGCACAACTAGTTTTATATCAGAATGTGACTTGAGAAATAGTAAACACATTTCCATAATTTTACAAATAAAATTAATTCAAATGAATTTTCTATTCTTTTGTCTTTACTTTTTTATCTTTAAACTTGTGTAATTTTGTGAAATGTTCTGAGCTTGCATTTATAAAGAATTAAAATTAAGATTTTTTTTTTGTAAAGGAATGGTAAGGAATTTTAGTTTGTTTTTTTTCTCATAAGATTTGTTTGAAAATGAGCTTGAATTCCCACATTTTCAGAATCTCTCAAACACCAGTTTTTCAACAATGATGCTACCTTTTTCTTCAAACTTTTTACACACGTAGTGCTAAATACATTGTTTAAGATGTCACAAAAATCATTTTGCTGTATTCTTTTCTTTTGTCATAAATTACACTAATGTATTTTTTTTATAAATAGAGAGCTTTGGCCTTAGGGGACAGCATTCAACTGCAATCTCTATCTTGTGTGCATGTGCAGATGCACAAAAGTGTTGCAAAACTGAACTGCACATGCTCAGAAGATCGATAGTGCTGGCAATTTCTTTATGTTTGGAGGTTCCAAAAACTCCCTAACATACCTCATGCTGTTAATATGCACATTTCCAGCAATTTGTATACAATATTGTATTTGTGAGTGGAAGTGCTTCAAAACACTTCCAATAGAAGTTTCTTGAAAACTCAAAAGTTTTCTGTGTGCAAGAGCTTCAAATTTCGTTCTTCTAGTAACATAAGACATTTTCTTAAAAATGGTGCCAAACTTTTCAACAACAACAACAACAACAACAAAAAAACAAAAAACAAAAAACAAAAAAAAAAGTAGACTTGGGTTTATCTTTCTATAATATTCTTAAAGTAATATTTTGGTTCTTCCATCAGGGAACAGAAAAATTGAGAAAATTTAAAACAATGTACTTAGGAGGTGATAGATGATTGCCAGCAATTGGGCAAGACCAAAAAGCTAGTTCAGATCAAAGACTTTAGAAATCTAACTTGTACGAGAAAGTGTTTGCCATTCTGTAGCACCACTAGTTTTATTTGTAATTAAAATTATCCAAATTATCCGATTAGAATCTAATTTTAATAGACATGAATATCTTGGTATTTCAAAAATTTTAAAGAATAAAATCTATGAAAATTTAAACTATATTCAACTGAAAATAAAAATTAGTATGTAAAAGAGCTGGGGAGGAATTAAAATTGGAAATAAGAAAAATTCTCATTTTAGATCAGAATCATTGTTCAAAACTTTCCACTTTCTTTCGATTTGAGACCTTTCTTACAATCATAGTCAGCAATCTTGAAATTTTTACATAGAGAAATTGGGAAACTGGAGAGAAAACTTAGGAAAAAGAAACCCTTGGGTGACCAGCGGACATCCTGAATATTTTATTATGAATGTTATGTTTTTGTTTCAAAATATATATCACAAAATAGAATATTTAGTTATCTTTAGGTAATATGTTGCTAGAGTCACACACACACACACACACACACACACACACACACACATACATTAAAAAACGTTGTTAAGTATATATGTTCTTTAAAATAAATTTTACACAGCCATTTTATGATAATGATATCTCTGTTAAGAGAAAAAATAATTATTAGAGAATAAATAATACCATACTATAACACTGTAGTTATTAAGATATTTACTTTCAGTTAAGTGCACAGGATGAATTCTTCAGAAACTGTTGAGAGTAAATTGAAAATTTAATATATTTTATTACGAAATTGATGCACAGTAAATTAATGTAGTTGTAAGTAAATAAACAATACTTGCAGACTATTTATAAAAATGTATTATACCTGTTGTTGTGGTAACACAAAAAAATAAATAAAATGTAGAACTATATAGAAGTTATGATCCGAAGGTATCACACCATCGCGTCACTGTTGCAAAATTATGTATTACATATTTTTGATTAAAAACTTGTAACAATTTCAATAGAATTAATAATTTGTATTTGCCAAGTTCTCACACAAGGAGAAATCCTTCATGTATCGTTAATATATTATTTTTATATTTTACAACCTGGTAAATAAATAAAGAAAGAAAGAAAGAAAGAAAGAAACCTTTGTCAGTAGATCTATTGATCAATTAATGGTATCTGTATTCTTTCTCTTGCTTTTCTTTTGTCTTCATCTTCTTGCTCTTCTCTTTGATCTTTATCATCATCAAATTGTATAAGTTTTGTATCTATTGAAGTTCAATAATCCTATAGTTTAAACTATTTTTTTTTCTTTTTGTGTGCAGAAACCCAAGATAAAGCGGACACCATTACGGGGAACAAACTTGGAACAGCCAGAATTACTGAGAAAACGCAAGTTTGTATCTCATGAACGTGAATTTCTAAAAAAGAAGAAGAAGCTTGCTATTGTAGATTTGCGAAAGAAGGGTCAAACAGTGAAGGATCTTCTGAGGGAAAAGCGTAGTCATCTCTCAACTACAGATTCCAGCAAAAACATTTCAACAGGTACAGGATTTTTTTGCAAGATGGTTGTCAACTCAGTAACAGTGGTCATCAGTTGGGAGTGACAGAGGGGAGGCGGGAGAAGCAAGGAAAGAAAAATAAAGAAACATTAAAGTCTAGTCCAGATATGACAATATATTCCGTTTGAATTGTAAGTTTTAAACCTTTAACAGTAGGGAAATTAATATTTGATTCCGGAAGAGTTGTTTGTTAGACTCATTTTATATTCTCTTGCCTAGTTTAGAATTTTATCTTGCATCTCCTTTTTTCCTTTTTCATTTATAATTTTATTTACTGGTCTCAATAATCAGTGTTTTCCCAATAATTTTGTATTTAATAATAAGCCTATGTGTACCTCTTTCAATAATTTTGAGGGGGGGTTTTATCTACTTAAATGAAACTTCAAATATAACTGACTATATCCAATGAAATCAACTAAAAATTCTGTTTATTCATCCAACTCTTTTGCACCAAGCTCTGAACAACATAATGGTTTATATGTGATTCTTTATCTTAATGCAAGCCAACTGGTGTATGGAAGACTTATTACTCATAGTTTAGGTTTTTCAGATGTACCAAGGTTTAAATAGGAGTCTTCACAAAAAACTTTTCTCTCTCATTCATTGTTCTTTTCACTCACATTCTTATTGTATATGTTAAAATGTTCAAGAACATTTGTCATTGTTGCTATTCAAGATATATATTATTGCCTGTTTAGTATAATCTTACGTGTAAAGAATTTGCAATGATAATTTATATTTTAAAAGTGTCAAACTTACATTTTGCAGTTGATCCTGCACAATCCCCTTCAACTTCACCTATTAACTCTCCTGCTTCTGAAACAAAGAAAACTGCTGCCACACCAGATTCACGGAAACCTGCCTCTGCAACTAGCATAGTGGATGCTATAGAATCTGTTGTTAATGCTGCTGCTCGCTCTAATGATGACTCCAGCCAGGATAGTTCATCTTCTGTATCAAAGACAGGTTCTGGTGAGTACAATATTGTGATTATTTCCTTATAAATATTGTGGAAATTTAAAGGAATCTGATACTGTTTATTTTCTTTCTAATGTAAAACTTTCTTGGGATATGACTGTTGAAAATATACCTATGGTCCTATTGTTGTTGATATTTTCAAGTACTTTCACATCTCATTATTGTTATAAAGAGTTGGGGTTTTAGGGAACTTTCTTCAAATGCTCGTTGATTGGAAAGCAGTGACACGTAAATATAATATACATTGTTTACAAGGGTACCCCAGAGAGAGGGTATTTCAATTAAAATTTCTAGATTTATTTTCAAAATCTTGGATCATCAGGATTGTTAATGAGCTAAGCACAGGATTGGCAATTTCACAAGTATGGAAAATTAGAATGTAATGAATAACACTTATCACAATTGGCCATTGAAAATAGATTTTCATCGCTTGCCCTGTTCTGTAGCAAAAACTCAAAATTTGTGAATTTATAAAATACAATGAACTTAAAATAATTTCTATAATTGTGTTATCATCATCATCATCATTGTTTAAGGTTTGGGTCTGTTGACCTTGATCTTAATTTAACAAGATTCCCTCAGACACTTCCGACGTGTTCTTGATCTTCCCAGAGCATTCTTGGTCTGCCAGGGTCCTTCTGTTTCCAGTTTTCCTATTGACAATTTGCCCTCTTCTATTTCCTTCTTCCAGGTCTTGGTCATGTTGTTCATGTATAAGTTAAATAGTATTGACGTTAATGTGCATCCCTGGCATTGTTCTACATTTGTTGTTATTACTTCTGAAACATTTCCATTTGTATTTTGATTGCGAATCTTTGTATAAACTCTTTAATTCATTTGTTAGGAGGTCTTCTATTTTCTTCTCTTTGAGGATTTTCCAATTTCTAGGATATTGTTTTTATTTCATTTTCTATTAATATGGCTACGCCTGAGGCTGTTGTTTCCTCTTTTTTCCACTCCTGTATGTATCATTGTGTACTAGGTTTATTCCTTTTCCAATGTGTTTGGTTACTAATGAGTTGTAAAATTACAGTATCATTCAAAAGTTAATTACTTTTTTTGATTTTTTGGAAAGGAATCAATAACATTTTTTTGTTATAATTTGGCAATTTCATCTGAAAACCATTTGTAGCAAGGAAAGTTGAACAAGCATTGGACAGCATGTATAAAGTTTATATTTGGTGCCATGAATATTTTCAAGCCTTTTAAATTCTTTCCTGAATCTTAATGTCTCTCAATTGACAATAATCAAATTATATGTATGATTGGTTCTATAGTCTTTTCTTAAACTGCATTTTCAAAACTTCAACAATTTATTTATGGCAAATTAAATTTTGTTAAAACAAATATTCAGAGCTATTGTCATTGAAATCTACCATCAATTGTCATTCAAATAATCAGTTTAAGAAACCTTTTTTTAATTACTCAGAATGTTCAAGAGTATATGTAACACTAAAAAAACTACTCTTTGACCTCTATTTCTTTTGTTTTCTCATAAACAGGTTAATAATGTAATTTTTTGTATTTTTTATTAATTTTATATGGTTGTTAAAAAATTAAAAACTTTTATATTTACAGGTTCAAGTGCTTCATCAGATAATAGTGATGATAGCCAAGATGCTGCTCCTTCATCAACCACCTTGACACCTGTGCAAACTCCAAATTCTCTTTCAACTACTGATGTAAAGTCATCATCTATCACCTCTCTAGTTCCTCCTGCTCAACTTCCACCTGGATTGCCCACTCCTGCCGCATCACCTGCTTCTGTGGGGTCTCGTGGGGATGAAACCCATCTCCCATCTGACCTGCCCTCTGATCTGGTGGACTTGCTCACCACATTGAAAAAGGCAGCTGAGTCTTCAGCAGAAGGCAAATGCAAGTTTTTTTCTAATGATGTAAATCAGACATTACTCAGGTAAGGAAAATCCACTTAACCATGTAACTTAAACATGCTATTTACACTAGTGAATTTGCAGTTGTCTCTGAGAATGCATTAAATAAAGAGTAATTGTTGAGAAATGTATTTGGGTGGTACAGTGACTCTTACAGAGCCCATGATCTTGCATCAAGATTGTGTAGAAACTTAAATATCTAGTTTCTTTAAGTAATTTCCTTTTTGTGTTCTTTCTCCATTCCTTGATCTTTCTTTCTGAACTGCTTTTCTTTTCTTTTATGATTCACATATCATTTAATTTGGTATCCTTTACCTTCTTATTGTGCAAGTAATTTCTTTGCATACGTTGTAAATGGATCTCTACAACCAGTGTGGGGAAAATATTTCTGTATGTTAAAAAAGAAAAAAGGAAGAGAAATGAAAGAATTTAGAAATTCACAAAACCACAAACCTGTTTTATTAAATGTTTACAATACACTGTAGTAACAAAAATTATGGGATGCCTCGTAATATCAAGTCATACCTCTTTAATTATTTTTATTGAAATTCTATTATTATTAATTAATATTCTAATCATATTGCAAAATAGTGCTTTTATTTTGTACAGTACTAAGTTCTCATATCATTATAATCATAATCGATGGCTCATTTACATATCTTATCAAATATAACATAATAATTTATAGTAAATATTTCTTATATCACATCAGAATATCATTTATCACTATTTATATACTATTTTATTTATTTATGTACTATCTATATTGTATTTACAACTCTATTTCGTCCAATTTATTCTTTAAACACACGCCAGAGTTTCCTTTTCGATACATTCCGCTGGTAGTTTATTCCACGCATTGACTATTCTATTGGTGATAAAATGTGCTTTTTGTCCAGTCTTTGTTTTCTCTTTTTTCAATTTCATCTTGTGTTCCCATAGTCTATCGTTAGTAGATCTTGTAAAGAGATCTACAGAGATCGTCAGTAGATCTTGTCGTGGGATTTTGTATAGTCCATTCAAAATTGTATATGTTTCTACGAAATAGTTTCTAGTTCTTCTCTGTTCAAGTGACAACAAGGACATCTTCTGACATCTTTCCTGGTAATTGGAATCTTGGTGATTTTTCTCTTGGTATCTTAGTTACTACTTTTTGTATTTTTTCCAGACATTGTATGTCTTTTTTATAATATGGGGTCCAAACTACATTAGCGTACTCCAATATGAGTCGAACATATGTCGTGTAAATTTTCCCAACTGTGGGGCTGTGTAATTTGGAGAATGCCTTTCTTATCATATACAGAGCACTGTTTGCTCACCTGGAAACTGCTGCAACTTGACATTCCCATTTCAGATCATGCGAAATTAGTATGTCCAGATCATTTTGTAGTACTATGATGTCCAAGGTGTGATCTCCGATAGTGTAGGGTAGTCTAGGATTTTTCTTACCAATATGAAGGATTTGGGATTTTGTAGAATTCAGCAGAAGACACACCTTTGACCAGTTTTCCGTTGTGATCAAGTCCGTCTGTAAAGTTTGATAATCAATTAATGGATTTACAAACAGTTTTGTATCATCTACGTAACAGTTCCATCTTGATACAATCTCATTTTCAAGGTTACTAGTATATAAGATGAACAGTAGCGGTCCCAGAACTGGCCCTTGAGGTACTCCACTTGTGACTGTTCTGGATGTCGATAAGCTGTCGCCAATACGAACTCAGAACAATCTGTCAGAAAGATATTCTCAGATCCAAGCTAGTAATTTACCCCTTTTCCCAATGGCCTCTAGTTTATGAATTATTTGTTTATGGGGAACTTTGTCAAAGGCTTTCGCATAGCCCAAATAAATCACATCCATGAGTTTCCCTTGGTCCAGTGCTTAGTCCATACAGCTAGTGAGCTGATCAGATTTGTGGCAGTTGACCTTCCACGAACAAATCCATATTGTTCTGTGGGGATAATATCATTTCTCTGTGCATGTTCTTGCAGTCTTTGAACTATTTTCCTCTCCATAATTTGTCAGTAGTTTCGACTATATACTATTTCAAAGTAGACTGCAAAACGTTATGTGATTTCTGCTGGTTTGGATGTTTGAAATCCATTACTTCGAATCGTGTTTGATGGTCTTGTTTTACATGAGGTCTGTTTCCGAATTTACAAATAAAACATTTTGCTGCTATCCTGCACAACTAGTTTTTCATAAAATTCCCTTCCAGATCTTGTCGAACGTGAGTTTGTTTGAGATTCTTCTGTATTCCTCATAATGTTTATTTGCACCAGTTCTCTTGTATTTCTTCCAAGCTCATCTTTTGGTTCTGATTTCCTTTTCCATTTTGTAAGTAATCCATGGTTTGCTAATATTTCTTTTCTTTCTATATCTTGGTGATTAGTCAGCACAAAACATTAAACTCCTCATTCATTTCTTCAATGTCTTTTTCTTTGTTCTCTTTGTTTCTTGAGTTCGTAAGTCTTTCAGATGTTTCAGTATTGTATCTAAGTCTGCTCTAGAAAAGTTCAGTTCATCACTGGATCTTTCCAAGTGCTCTTGCTTTTCCTGTGTTTCTACTTGTAAGGTTGTGACAATTACCAGGTGATCACTCTGCTCGATACTTGGTCTCAGGATAGGATGGGTGATAATATCTTCTTCATTTACCAGCACTAGATCTAGAATCGAAGGAGTTTGGTTTCCTCTGTACCTTGTGGGTTCGTTGACTTTTTGACTTAGGTTAATGCAATGTTGAAGAAACTCCCATTCTACTTCTGTTTTGGAGGTGGCTCCATTTTTAGACCAATTCATGGAAGGGAAATTGAAATCCTCCATGATTATAGTTGGTTTGTCCGTTTCGCGTATTCTATTTGTTCAAAAAGTTGAAGGTCTGTTTGGCTTGGTCTTGACTCAGTTGACAGTGGTCTGTATATTCCTCCGATTATAAATTGTGTCCTACCTATTCTCAGTTTCAGCCATAGTGTTTCTATATTAGGGTTTTCTGTTTCACAGATTTCCTCTTCTCTCACAATAATTGATCCAATTTTCTATCTCTCATATATCAATACTCCCCCTCCTTGTTTATCAGATCTGTCCTTGCGGTAAATGGAAAACTCAGAGATAGATACGATTCTATCTGGAATTTTTGAATTTAGCCATGATTCAGTAATTATTATAATGTCTGGTTGTATAGTATTGAATTCCTCAAGAAATTGATCAAATTTTGGTGTCATTGATGATGTATTTGTGTATAACATAACTGGTTTAATTATTGATGATCTTGTTGCTGTTGTTTGTCGTTTCCCGTCCCGTTAACGATCCTTGGTTTACTCCTGATATATCTGATGACGAGGTTAAGGTTTGATTTTTGTTCACCTAAGAGCTTTGCTCTAATATTTTTCAGTTCCTCTCTTTGCATTGGAGTAAGGTCATTATTAGCTTTAATTCCAGCAGGCAGTTTTTGACTGTTCCTCAAAATGTCTTTGGTTTTGTTGGCATATCTAATGACTACCTTTATGGGTCTGGGGTTGGAGGAAATGGTACTTATTTTTCCCAGTCTTGTTGTGCGCATTATACAGTCCTTTGAATCCATTTCCTGGTTGCTTAGGATATCTACATTTTTTCAATCTTCAGTTTGACATTCCCCTTCATCAGCCCTACTTGATTCACTTACTAAACAGAGGATTATATTTCTCTTATGTAAATCCCGTTCTTCAATCTCTTCAAGAAGTATAAATTTGGATTCAGAGGTTCCATTGGTTGTTTTGAGATGGTTTAATGTTGTTGGGATTTCCTCTATTTTAGCTTCTGTCTCGGTTCATGAGAATTCCATTTTATTGCACCTTATTCCGAGATCTTTTTGTCCTGCTTTACAGCTCTTAATTTCGGTTGTATATTTACTAATTGAATCTTCTAATTTTTTCACATCCTTTTTAATTATTTTCAGACCTTCCTTTTGATTGTTGGTCGGATCTACTTCTAGTTGAGATATTCTATCACTAAGACTTTTAGTTTTTGTTTAATTCTTGTTTAAAAATTTTAATTAGCTCATTGTTGCCAGACATTCTTGGTTCTGACTTGCAGCATATAAAGTCGTTTGAATTTGTGTTTATCTTCACTCTTATCTTCACAACTAGGGTGGTATGACTTGTGACAATTCGTGCAGTAGACTATGATTTTGATTACAGGCTTTCTACAATAATGACAGTTGGTAGTATTTTCTTGCATATGTCTCACACTATTAGACAATAAACTCTATAGCAATCTTGAATATATAATGCACAACGCATTGTCATCATGAGAACAGACAATTTCGCAGTGGAAAGATGGATTCCACCTCCTGAGACGTACTTCCGTTTGTAAGTGCTGACTTGCGTTAATATTTGAAAAGGTGCGTGTTCAAATTTGGTGCCATATACGCCAGTGCTGCCTCTACTGGAGTTCACTTGATTTACATTTCTCTCCTTCTGGAGATTGTGTATTTTGTGGTTAGGATTTTAAGTAAAGACTTTCCAATTACTTATCTCTTACAATTTGGAATAAAATTCGTCACCTTTATTTCCACAAGCGTGTCTTCAACTCTTCTCTCATGATTTGAGTACAAAAGTAAACAGCTATTCAATAAATAATACCAGCTCTACAAAATAGCACACTGCATCAACACATCATCCACACTTCACTCCATAACTAAGAATTTGATAACGAAGACTTGTCTTATGCCTTGCCTATCAACTTCCTGGAAACTCCTTCGTCATCAATGGGAGGGACCTTTGCCTGGCAAAGTGCAGAATCTCAGAAAGTCAGAAATTCCCTGCAGAAATATTGAGCCATGCTGCCTCTGTACCCATCTATAATTCCAAAAGTGTTGCTGGTACAGGATTTTGTGCATGAACTGACATCTCTATTATGTCCCATAAATATTTGACAAAATTCATCGTGCAATCATTCATCAAGCAATCTGTGTGGCTTGATGCACATTCACTTGAATTGTCCACAATGTTCTTCAATTCAGTCGCAAACAATTGTGGCCTGGTGACATCATACTTATCATTTGTAAAAATTCATGCAAATGGTCTCCAAGTAGCTGAACATAACTATTTCAGTCAATGATTGGTTCACTTGGACCAAAGGATCCAATACATTCCGTGCAAAAACAACCACCACCAGCTTGCATAGTGCTTTGTTGTCTATGGCTGCATGGAGTCTGCACCACCCACAAACCTTCCCATAAACTCTTACTGACTGAATTCAGAACTCATCTGATCAAGTCACGGTTTTCCAGTTGTCTTGGGTTGAATCGATTTAGTCACGGGCCCAGGAGAGGTGCTGCAGGTGTTGTCGACACTCGGTACAAAGGCACTCGAGTCAGTCTTCTGCTGCACTAAAGCCAAATTTTACCACTGCCCCAATAGATACATTCATCACACATCTCACATTGATTTCTGTGGTTATTTCACTCTGTATTGCTTGTCTGTTAGCATTGACAACTCTATGTAAGTGCCACTGCTTTTTTATGCTTATTAAATAATTCTTTAATATATGTACACCTGTAATGAAAATTAAAGAAGATTCACCATTTGCGTCACCACCTGCATTCAGTCAGTTGGTCAGTCCAAACATTTTTCATTATGTTAAATGCATTAAAAATCGGGAGTGGTGCATATATTTTTGAAGATTTGAACCAATTGCTGACTGCAGAAAGTCTGCTCTAATCGTGATTAAAAGCTAGCACTAATAAACCTCTGAATTCTTTTCCTTCATGCAGTAATTATTTATTTTATTAAAATATATTTTCTTGTTATCTGTTTTCATTTTTTAAGTACTTCAGTCTTCCATCTAAGTAAGGAACATTTCATTCCTTCTGTGAACGTTCGGCAACCCCTTGATAATTCTATAGTGTAGAAAATACACTTTGGGGCTTGCAATAACATAGTGTGGGAACGTTTCTCTTTCTGATGAATCAAATGTCCATTATTAGTACAATTTTATTTTAAACTATTTGTTTAGTCTCTCTCTCTGCCCATCTTAATGTATGTAGAGCAGATATTGAACCAGTTTATTCAGCTTTGTGAATTGTGTACTTTTCACATGAAACATCATAGAGTTTTGTTAAAAATTATAATAAAATAAGATATCCTGAACGACCCCTCCAAAATACCCATACAGAAATCTGTCCCTTCCCCTAAAATTTCCCAAAAGGAAATGAACATCTAAATTAAATCCCCTAACCTGGCACCTCTAGTGGATAGTTGCAGATAGTAAATGAGTTTGTGCCCGCTGAGGACAAACAAGAATGACAGATATCGGTGGCTTTTGATTTTGAACTCGGTGTCAACTAGCACACTATGAATTCACAATAGAATTAGGTACTGGAAATTTTATTTATATTATGAATAAAACTTTTTTTTGAATAGATCAATGTTTCTGGAAAAACTTATTTATCTAAAGAAAACATTGACAACAAAACATTGATGTTTTTGATTGAAAAATATGGTGTGCGTGTGTGTATGTATGTATGTGTGTGTGTTTTGTCATCCCTAATTATCCCACAGCTTTTCTCTATTTTCCTTGTCTATTTAAAAGCACTTAAAAGCATGCTCCCAGACGATATTATGGTATGTTTCAAAGCCATCTAATATTATCTTCTACAGAGTGGAACAAAAAGCCCAGGCTCTGACATGTTCTCGCAGACAACTAGTATATGGCCACTTGGCCTTGTATCTTCCATGTACAAAGGACACTCTCATGAAACGAGCAAAGAAACTGAGGCTCAACAGTGAAGAGCTGAAAATAAAGGAACCAATGGCAAGGTATGTGAAAAGGATTTTCTTTCAGGGCTACTTTGCTTCTCGGACATGTGTATGTATAGCTGTATACCTATTTTAAGACATCTTTACAATCTTATATATTGATGGATAGTTCAATAAAATTTAAGTTTGTCTTTTTCAAAATATTCTCATATTTATTTTGATTTATAAGAGAAATTTTTGAAATTATTTCAAGCAAAAATGTCGATATTAACAAAGAATAGTGTCAAAATACAAGGAAGATTCAGTAAGGAACACGTAATATTTTTCCATACAAATGTGTACAAGACTTGCATACAAAATACAGTAATATGTCTAAACTGGAACCTGCACAAGTCAGAAACTTGCCCTAACTGTAAAATCTCTGTCCGAGAAGTGGTATTTTTTACAGCATAAAACGGTACCTCTCCAATGCGGAAACGGAACAGAATTTCATGTCCTGCAGCTCAAACAAACTTTATAAAACAGAATTCCTGTGAATTTGATGCAATTGGCAAAGACGCAAGATGTTCTTAACCTGCCGTTACTCGCGTGTTAGATTATTTCTCACATCCGTTAATGTTGTATTTATTACTTAATTATGGATGACACGCATGCATTAATATTCTAATATATTTGTTATTGACATGTGTAGATAAAAAAAAGCGTAAATACGAGTGCCTTACTGGCTCAATACTTGTTTCATTACAACACAAGAAGTATAAGAAATGAAAATGAAACTAAATCATACAGTAAATTAAAGTCATGAAGTAGGCATATTTTCTTAAGACAATATATTTAATATACAGGATGTCCCATTTAACTTGACAACTTGAAATAACTCATAAAATACACGATGTACGGAAAATTCAGCCGAGACCAAATCTTAAGTTTTCAAGGGGGAATCATTCTATGCTAAAATCAGTATGACAGCAGAATATCCTGATTTGAAGCGATCAACGATGTCTACACTTCCTTTGGTAAAGTTGTAAAACATTATTACCTCTGGTTTACTTTGGTCTCTATATTCGGGACCAATCACATCATAATGCATGATAAAAATTATCAATACATTTCTGTTCTTCTTAGGGACATATAAGCAAAGAAGCCCTCTGATTTCCCAGTTTCTGTCCAAAAGCAAACATACTACTGTGCACTGGCCTAGCTTTTACTGATGCAAGTTCTGGAGAAATTTTTCGTTTATTCTTTCGAAGAGTTCCTACAACTGTCAGTCGATTAGTCATATGTAAAATATTAGCAAGCAATACCGAAGAGAAATAATTGTTCATTGTCACATTTCGTCCTGTGTTGTCAATTAGACGTACAATCTCAAAACTACACTGCTGGCATCATTGGAAATCTGATATGGTCCTTCAGGTTGTTTTCCAGAATATATTTCCATACTGACCATGTAAAATGTTCTTGCATCAAAAAGTGCATATGTCTTTATCCCATAGCTGACTTTTTCGGGATGTACTGCCTGAATTTGCATCGTCCTCTAAATGCTTCTAGCATTTCGTCTACAGTGGTGTATGCATTTGGACTATAGCTACTTATGCAAACATTTACAAACCTGTCAAATATTTCTCTTATTGGGGCCAAATAGACTTCCTTCTTCCTTTGCGCCCTTGTTAGTTTATCATTGAATCTAATTGATTGCAAAAGAGTGTAAAATCTTCGTTTACTTATTGCTGCAATAAAAAAGTTAGGTGCAGCTCCGTCAGTGGTCCACAGTTCATCTGCATTTAGTTGTTGCGCCTTTTTTTACCCCAACAAGATACAGAACTCCTAGAAACGCCGACATTTCTTCAGAATCTGTTCGCGGACAGTCCCGTGAATTTTGTGGATATGAGGAACCCATTCGATCTATTTCTACGTTAGTGTAGGCAACAATATTAGAGATAGTATCAGTAAAGAACACTTTCCAACAATCTAGAACAGTTTTCAAGTTTTTGCACTCACGGCAGCTGCGTTACAATATTCTGTCCTGTCTTCTTTGTTGAAGGCATCCTGTGTTTCAACCAGAATGTTGATCTCTCTTTACCCACGTACGTTTCGCGATTTACTCGTTGAGTTGCAGCTCCCAAAACGCTCTAAGAATCGCCGTCATCTGCTTCGGTATCAATATCTTCCTGCTCGGTTTCACCGTGTGTGTCAATTCATATCAATGAAAACATTTCGATATTGTTCTTCTAACTACATTAATATTTTCTCTTCCGCCATATGCGTATCTGGAAAAAACAAACAAAATGTAACTAACGGAAACTACCGCGAAAGTGTACAGAAATATTTATTTGCCAAATCTATGAATCATACCTTTGATATAAGGAATACTTAACACACACAACAAAGATGAGTTCTAAAACTTTTCTGATCTTCGCGCAAGCACGAAACGAGCAAGACAGAATGAAACACAGGGAGAATTCTAAACAGTCGATAATGATGCCGCAATATAACGCGTTTACTCGCGTGTGAGAAATTATCTCACAAGACGCGCGGTAATCAGAGCCATGACAGATTGATTCCTTTCGCAGAACTGATAAGAACGACGATCGGATGAAGAGCTGAGTTAAGGAGGAAGGCATTGCTTCAGCATTATCTCCCTGTGTTGAAAAAATGTCGTTGCTGCTGAAGTAAATGAAGAAATGTGAGATTTTTCTCAGAGCCCGAGCAACGACAGGTTAATGAAATGAATGCACCTGTAAACCAGATTTAAATTATATATCCCTGTGACACGCAATTTAGTCTGGAAGCCGGACATTCAAGGAGAGGTTTGCCTGTCGGCGTATAATTTCGACCCTGGGGTCGCTTGCTTCTCAAGACATAGGCTATCGGGAAATTCCCTCTCTGTCTCTGAGCGTGGGAAGGTGTATGGGCATGGCTTCTATTCACGCATTTCCGTGCGTACTAATAGTATTCGTAGTATTCCATTGTGACGCATTGTGCAGGTTTGAGTCCCGAATGTGGCAGAATTTTCGACACCAGCTTGTTAGGTCGAATTCAGTCGCTGTCTTCTAGCGGCCGGCTGCTCGTATCTGTAGTTTCCGTGGTTTCTCCGATCAACACCAGGCGAATGCCGAAGCAGTGCCCTAACAAACGGGTCACAAGCCGCGCGCAATTTCAACTTCCTCTTTCTCTTCCTTGTCCTGTCCTCAAACCTTACACTCACACACACACGCGCGCGCGCGCGGCGCGCACCGGAAGACGTGCCAGGAGTTTAGAACTTGTCCCGGCTGGGGCGGTGCCCCACTGGTGGGAGATACCTGGTTAGGAAAATCCCGCTAGCCGATCGCGCCTTAAAGCGGAGGAAAGATCACCGCCACCACCCGAGAAATAAACATGCATTACACGTACGGGACTAATGGCCCATGTAGTTGTGTCACGTAATCACTAAACTATCAACCAATTGAGCCTCTATATTACAAGTTTCATTAGCGGGAAGTCGCTCCGCCGGAGCGCTCTGGAGCGTGCCGACTCGATTAACATTCAAGTTCCGGACTCTCGGCGCAGATCGACCGGGATCATTTTTACGTTATAAAATTTTGGAGGAGCTTGTATTACGAGCGTATACGTGTGAAGAACGTATAAATGTAAACGCATGAGAAATAATTTAGCATGAAATTTATAGTAATTTATCCGAGACTTACCAAAAAAGAAGACGTATAAACGTCAAAAACGTGTATATGAGAAACACATAAACGAAGTTTCACTGTACAGCCTACAACATATTTTAAAAACATTATACATAATGTCACTTAAGATCTAATTTTGATGAACAGATTTCATGAAATAATTGTAACCATTTTTCAGAAAATTTTGAAATCCCCTAAGAGTTTTGAGTAAAATATCCTCACGAATTAAAAGTTCATTTCAAATTCACATGGTCCTGAATATGTCTAGATAAATTGGAAATATCAATTTGCAGTAAAATCCTATTAACAGTTTAGACACTAGGTTGATACACGGACAGAAGTGTTTTGGGAAGGGGTGGATCTTTTGCAGTGTGAGGTACCCCATTGAGTACATTTTTGTCAAAAGCTTGTCATTGATGTTTTGCAACACTACTATACTTTCATTTACTAGAAAATAAAAAAGTTGTTGTTTTTGTGGAATTTGACAGAAGTGGAAAAATTTTAAAGTCAAAACATGTTTTGAAATTTTAAATCATGCTAGAAAATGTTGACTAAAGAAAAGTGCCTACTTTTATAAATGTATCTATTTTTGAGTTTTTATCATAATGAATATGTGTTTCCAGGCTTGAGGCTGCTGTTAATCAAATGATGCCAATTGTATTGGAGCAGTACACTCGACAGTATCAAAAAGTGGTTGAAGAGAAGTGAGTATGTAAAGAGGTTAGAGGTTTGGAAGAGGTTAGGGAAAACCAAGTGGGCAAACAGCTGGCCCAAAGCCACCCCATAATTGGCAGAAAGGAAGAAGACATAAAATTCTCAATGAGGGGCAGAGGGGGCTTTAGCGTTTGGCCACTGGGGAACTGGCAATCAGGGCAGTCTGACCTCTCTCTTTCACACAAAAGAAAATTATACAAATGAAATAAAGAATTCATATGAAAATATTGCAGTTTCGTATATTCAAGTATGGGTTAACATGTGCATGCTGCATGTAGAAGTTATGCAAAAGTTATTGTTCTGAAAGTCAGACTGCATAATGTCCCCTGAGCCCAGTATACAATAGATTAGGCCCTAGGATAGATGTGTTTAACTGCTCCATGTGCCCACAGTTCAATGCTGACTTTGTGTTCCTTTGTGTTTGCACAGCCCTCAAATGTACTTGGAGCTGTGTAGGTACTACTGGTAAGCCCCACAATTGTTCTTTGTTCTCAAGTGTGCGCGTGGTGGGGGTGGGCACTCTATCTCTGTCTCTCTTTCTCTGTCTAAATTTTCTTTCTCTCTGCCTTGTGGTGTCACGTGCTCGTATGAGTGTGTGCTAGCGTGCATTTGCTTTTCGCTTGCCACTGGGGCTTGGCGCAGAGGTGCTGGGCAGCTTTTGCTCTTGCGCTTGCGTTCATGCATTGGGCGAGCGGTTGTTTGCACTAATAGGCTGACGTGTCTCAGGGTTGCTGTTGCTCATTGGCTTTTGTTCTCCCTCCAGGAGTAATGATGAAGGACCTCCATTGGATGGAAAGGAAACCAAAACCCGCATTCCACGTAAAACATTTCCTTGGAATGCAGATACAAGGTTTGTATGGTAATGTATGATGTCAATATCTGCATGTGGGTCAATTGAGGAAGCTGATAGTCTCAATATTCTGGTGTACAAGGAGAACACTTTCTGGAAAATCAGGGAATTAGAGGAATAATCTTTGGAAGTCAGAAAAATGTTTGAGGATGTTATGTAACTATTATTTATTTATTTAATAGGTAATTATTACAGACAAAATTAGCTAACTTGATCCTATGTGGCTAGGCCGAAGGCCCTTTAAGCCATTACAATACCTACATCCTTTCGCGTCTAATCTTTCGAATTCTTCACCCAAATGTCTCTCCTTGCAATCAAAACGCGGAAAAGAGACCATAAGGTACGGCTGCAGGAAAAAAACCTCGAAGGGGGAAAAACCTGCGTCAGAAGCCGAGTACATTCTAATCTATACCGACGTTTATTTAGCTATATTATTTTCTGGCGCGGGCGTCCGTCGTCTCCTTCCAGCTGCTTGGCCTCCCTCAGCACCTGAAATCAACAGACGCCAAGAAGATCGTCCCGCACCAACGCCTCTGCCCTTATATTTTCGATCCCCACTTAACCTTCCCCCCTAATAGTGTATTACTATGCCCAGTTTTTATTTTATTTATTATAATTAACATTTTACTTACCAATTAAATATGACTTATGACTTTTTTCTTAACTGTTTTACTTACTTAACCATAAAAATTAGCTGATTAACTTACATATTGTTAGCTTATTGACTTATTTATTTTCCTCTCCAGTCTAGGCTCCGCTGCAAGCCTAACCGGTGCTCTTTTCCCATCCCTAATTTCAGTTTCCCCTAATGGTCCGCAACCTTTCCTAAAAAATGTTCCTTAATTCCTTTCCATGAATTTAGACCTTTTAATCCATCTAAAATGTTTTGGCGAGCGTTACGTTCCTGTTTAGAAAGTAGTAAATTTCCCATTCCCATCATTTTTTTTTCTCCATGTTGTCGGTTGCAACAGCAATTAAGGAGTATGTGGACTCGCAGTCTTCCCTTCACGCAAAGCACACAGATGCCATTACCACTTTGCGTCCTTTAGTCTACGTTGGCATCCATCCCCAACCTGAACGCAAGCGTATCCCCTACTTGCGTCTTTCCGAAGAGTATGAGTAACTTCGCCAACCCCATAACGGACTCGCAATGAATTTAGGCTACTCAGCGAACGTTTTTCCAGCCGTTGCTCATTGCCCAGATCTCTTGCCATTTTAATATCCGCAAGTCTACTTGGAAATCAGCTCTTTCTATCTACGGGTTCCCCTATCTCCCACCATTTCCGGAGAGACGTCTCCCAACCCTGCGCGGTCAAGTTAGCCGTTTTAATTTTGTAGCGGCCGCAGCTAGCGATGGTCGGCTTTCCTCGCCATTGCACTCTAAAGCACCTATGTATGAAGTGGTGTCAGCCCTGTTCATCTGCTATTTAATCCAAAGTTTGATAGATTTTCATTTTAAATCTCTCCAAATTCCTACTACTTGCGACACTCTCTCTAAGACTCGGCATTTTGCGCTGGCGCCATCTAGAAATCCTAGAATTAATTCTGAATATCTGTTTCGATACTTTCTAGTCGATCTATCCTATCCACTCCAGATTTCTCTGCCCATAGTTCATAGCTGGGAGAACTAAGATTTGGAACATTGTATCGCATACTTTTACCGGCAATTCCGGAACCCTGCGCACTGCGCAAACGATTTCTTTGAGCGAAATTCTTCCTTTGCTGTGAGCCGTCAGTATGTGATTATTCCATCCCCATTCATGGAAAATTTTGCACCAAGATATGTGAATGTTTTGACGCGGTCAATTTCTTCCCTAGCGTAGTACCATTTCTCTTTGCTACCCAGATAAACCCATTTTTGAAGACTACTACTTTCGGTTTTTGAATGTTTACTTTTAGTCCCATGTCTCACTATACCGTTTCTAGAATATTTAAACTCTTCTGTAAGCCCCCAATCGTCTCCGAACATAAGACTAAATCATCAGCGTATAGTAGTCGGGAATTTTCAAGCAATCAATTACCGGGGCGCTGTATCCGCTTCCTGTACCCACGTCAATAAATCGTTATAAACAAGATAAAACAGCAGCGGTGAAAGAGGACACCCCTGTCTTACTCCTATTGTCGATTTTATTTTTGCGTTATACTTCCGTCACCGCACCTCACGCAGAAATTTACATCCTTATACATACTCTGCAATACGTTTAAAACTTTACGTGAGACGCCAGCTCATTTAGTTTTCGCCATAAAGCATCCCTATTAATAGTGTCAAAAGCCTTTTCGAATTCTACAAACTGAATATAAGTGGCCCCGTTTACGCGCCAGCGCGCTGTTTTACTGGGTATCTAACACAAATATATTGTCGGTTGTCGCGTCAGCCTCTTCCTAAAGCCCCTGCTTGCAACTTCTGATATTCTACCGTACTTTTCGCCCATTCACTTCAGTCGCCCGTTGAGAATTTCAGAACAGTTTGCTCAGCGCTGGCAAAAGACTAATTCCGCGATAATTTTGTGGGCAATTCGCAATCCCCTTATTTTTAAAATCGGTTGGGGATAGCTGTACTCACGTTTCTGGATACGAGCCGGAATTCAGCAATTGCATTAAATAACTTTATAATAACTTTCTGGGTCTATGTGCCACAATTCCGAAATGAATTTGTTGGAATGCCGTCCGCGCACCTGCCTTCTTATTATTCATTGTTAGAATAGCCCTATTTACTTCAGTCCAGGTTGAAGGTTCGTCTAATTCAGGCACACTCTGGTCAGTGAAAAATACCTTGCCCCGTTTCAATGGTCTCTACTGTGAACGTCCGAGAAAAAATATTGCACCCACGCGTCTGCTGAAATTTCATTACTTGAATTTAATTTTATTGCGCAAAGATCTGATAACGTCCCAAAATTGATTTACTATAATCGTTTCTTAGAATTGTCTGTATTCTTGCTGCCTCACTATCCTGCCAAGATTTCTTCGATTTCTTAATTGTCGCTTCGTACTGCTACCGTAATAACAAATAACTGTTTCTAGCTTCTTCCGTTCCCCTGTTTCTGAAATTCCTTAAGGCTATTATAGTTTCGCGCCTGGTCTCCCGACACTCCTCGCTAAACCACCCTTGGGTCCGTTCCCTCGTGTGTTATGTAACTAGTTAATATGCCTTAAAACCACTAGCACCACATAGTTTTTCTTTGGTAAGCAAATAATGATAATTATGCCTTTCATAATTAAATCAAAGAGTTGACAGATTCGTAACAATCATCATCTCTCAAACCTCTTCCATCATTCTAAATGTCTGTATACCCTCTTTTATCCACTTCTTCCATTCAGTTGCTATCACTTCTGTTAAAAACTGCTCCCAAGACTCAACATTGCCACTGCATTTTATACATAATTTATCTCCTCTTTATCCTCACTTTTCTTCCTATGTAGCATACTACTTAACATATTCCCTGGTCTAAATCTTAATATTCTACATCAGCTCCATTCACTTCTTAAGTCATTTAAAGGCCTTGAACTCCCAACTCCCATAATTTCTTTTTTTAATCTTAATATGTCTGCAATTTCAATTAATTGATAACATTCTTGTTCCTGCACTATCCTCGCTCTTCTAACTACCTACCTTATTCTTACTCCTCTTGCTCTCTACTTGTCGACCCCAATTGTGGATTACCTCCTTTCCTCTTAAAAGATGTTGCTCTCCTCCCATTAGGATCCCAAATTGCTATCTATTTTATTAATCTCGTTCCAGCAATAAATAGTAAACTCCCCTCTCTCACCAACTGCTAACATCTCATTTCTTGTATCCTCTTCTCCAGCTTTTCTTTCATCTTTCTTCTTCTACTCTTTTTTTCTTATTAAATAACTCTAGACACCATCTATAGAAGCTTCTATCTTTCTCTCCAATACCATAATTCTTCTTCGCACAACTGAATACTATACCCAAGCCATAAAATTGCTTGGTTATTTGTTCCCTATCTCTAATAAATATTATTTTCATTTCTCTCAATACCTTTCTCTTAACAGTATCCCCTTTTTTACATTTTCCGTAATATCCAGAAAAACACTTGCCATGTTACCAAAATCTTCCATCACTGCATTCTGCCTAGAACCAGCCCCTTTTGTTTGGTCATCCCCTGTCCCTCCCAGCGAGACTTGCATTCTGATTCCCTGGGGCAGGGAGTGAGTGAGTGGTTTGCGTCTCTCTCAGCTGCAAGTCTGCAATGCCGCACCTCTGTTCTATAGTGCCTTGACATGTGTCACTATTTTGCTGCATACAGGCAATTTCATGTGACCATCTAATATTTGTGCATAAAAGATTGCCACCAAACCACATGCAAATGTCATGTATACAAAAGCCACTAATCGCTATCACTATCCAAAGGGGGGGGTAGAACACCACCATTTCCTGTAATAAACAACTTGCACTACACTAACAGGACTAATGACCACTTGTTCGCATTCTCAGAAGAAATGAAATAATTAATCACTCAATCGGCCAGTGTAAGTTCGTTGGCAAAATGTGATGATTTTCTCACCTCTCTACATGCCCAAGAAGTTTCAACATTTATTCTGATACACCTCTGAGTGTGTATGTGTGTAAATAATATGTATAATATGTAAATTTATATACTCCCAGAATACAAGATGTCCAGGGTGTTTGATGTTGATGAAAAAAAAAACGAACATTTAAAAATTAAAAGATACATTTCAAATTCAATAGGCCATTAAGATCAGCAAGATTGATCTAGGCATATCCATTTTGTGTAAATCCTATGTATGGTTTATTTTTGTGTTGTTCAGGGGCAGATCATCAAAAATTGGTTGAATAAACGATTTGTTTGTATCAGGGTCATGCAAAATTTGTATTTCCAGCAAAATCTCTAAATGAATTTTTTTGCATCCTAACATACATTCTCTATGCTAAATATTTAGTATATATAAGAAAATAATGGCAACCTAAGAATTAATTCCTATTAATTTGTAAACGATTGCCTATAATATCCAGAAACAACATGAAATATGCTAGTAATTGATTTTAATCGAAGAAAAAAACTCGTATTTGATTATTTATTTGTACATTCTGTTAGTTATTTTATTTGCAATCGATTTTTTTCGATTATTTTCAATCGATTTCAATTGATAGTTATTTTATTTTCAATTGATTTTCATATAACATTACACTCTTAAAATGCTTTTACGAAGCAGATAATCTTATTATAATGCCAATAGCGAGAAAATAAATTCCTCTGCTTGCTTTCCAACATTATATGTTTTTCATCTGAGAGAAATGAAAAATTCTTTGGTTGCCTAGGAAATTGTATTAAATTCTGATCATGTAAATATGAATCTGACCCATTTTTGGTAAATTGAAGTCCTGAGGGAATTGAAATGAGTGGAATGTAATACTAACTTTGTCTTTCCTGTGATCAATGAGGGAAGATACCTGCTTTCAGGTAGATTGCGTGTTGGTGTTGTGTAAGAAAAGTGAATTGTTAGTATGAGTTCTCAAAACAAGAATATCTCTTGATCCATAGTGATTTATTGTGATTCATGACTGTACACACTGCTTCAAGATTAAAAGGCTAAAAAAATCTCTAGGAACCTAGGCTGCAGTAACGAAAATATGAAATAAAAAAATTAATGGAAGATGGTACTCTTACAAATGTCACTGTGTAGTGGGAGTAATGCTTTTTATTCTAGTTTTTTCTAAATGGACAAAGGAGTAATGCAATCTTATTTTTGATCTCTGATCAGTGATTGTTTAATTCATAATCGAAGTAAGAGTTAACATGTATGTGCAGGACACTTCTACAGCAAGTGGTGACTATAAAGAGACAGTGTCTACTGCTTCAAAAACCTCGCAAAGAATCTAAAGAAGAACTCCTGCGGGCATTTTTGGAAAGCTCTGTGCTACCTTTGTGGCCTCCAGGTTGGATGAAGATAAACATCCTCCTTCGTGAGTCTGGATTGAGGCCAGGCGGTGGAGCACCCCGCAATTACTCAGCAAATATTGTACCTAGCCCCATCCCCACAGTTGTGGCCAGCCCTACTGCCACTACCCCTAGTGCCACCATCACACCGTTACCAGGGTGAGTAGTTAAAAAACTTGTGGATATCCTGGATAAAATAATTATGTATAGTGTAACATGAATGATTTGATCAGTAGTTAGTAATGGAATTACAGCCATTTAAGAGTGGTGGATTCATTAAATACACTATGAAGTTTTAGAATAATTTGTCCTTGCTCCAGCTGTATCTGTTGAAAAAATTATTAATCTAGTGATTATCACTGTCGCAACAACTCTGCGACATTGGGCATGCTTACAAATTTAAATTTAAGTTAATAGTGAACTATAACCAAGCAAAGTGGCTCAGTGCGTAGCACACTGACTTTGTAGTCGAAAGGCCTGTGTTTGATCCATGGGATTTTCGCGGTTTCCCTTGGTCATACAGGCAAATGCTGGGATGGTTCAAAAAGGCAATCGCCTCTCATCATCATCATCATCATCATCATCATCCTATCACCTCATAATTCAAGGCTTGACAACCTTATCCTACCAAAGGATACAGCCGAAAAGCTAATCCCTATAATCTCTCCCAGAGTTAGATTATGGTTGGGCCTCAGAAGAGAACATGTTGCATGGTCAGAAATGGCCTATACGCAAATAATAATAATAATAATAGATAGATAGATAGATAGATATAGATGTAGATAGATATATTTATTATTTCTGCAGGTAGGTATAGAACCTGGTGGCAGATCACTACAATTTACATATTACAACAAAGAATACTAATACACTATAATTGTAAAGCATTTTAAGGCAATAATAACAATAACAGCATTACCTATACACTTTATGACTGTCCTGCACGGAATTTTTTAATATATAATAATAGTAGTAGTTTTTTATTTTGCAAAGAATTACATCGATAGTGTACATCCGTTGTTATTATTTACATAAAGAAAATTAGAACAGCAAAACCATCACCATAGAAACAACAAAACAAGAAGAAAGAATACTAATTTTGCTTGACTACATTACATCATGTTAAACCTTATAGCAAAATACCTTTCTTATAAAATTTGTTTTATCCAGTACATACCAAACCCTCTCGTAACGTTCTTTTTGTACTTGTCAGAGAGGGGTGTGTTACTTTGTACTGTTTCTTTTCTTCCGTATTACGGTCGTTGACTACAGTTCATTTGATCATCTACTGTTTGCCAGTTACTGTATGTTGCGTAAACCATTTCTACTGAAATTTATATTTTTTCCAAGGAATGAATAGAAATTATAAGTTAAATGACAACTAACATTAACATGAATTAAATTGTCAAATTGTCTACATTACACATTGGTTTATTGAAAAAGCTATTGCCATAAAAATTTTGAGACAATTATTTAAATAATTAAGAAGTAAATAAGACACAAGAACAAAAATTAGTCTCTACAGTGAACCATTGACAATTGACGTAATTACTAATTGATAAATTACAATCAAATTATTATCTAAAATAAAAAGTTAAAAAATAATTAAACTGAATGAGAGTAGGCAACAGTCAAAAACGGGAATTAAGGAGCAACAGGAACATTATATATTATTAACAAATAAAAATCTTGTTAAGACAGCAGTAAACAGTAATAATGAAGATTTAATTGTACATAATTAATAAAATGAAATCTTGTAATGACAGTACTCAAGGCAAAAATGAATCAAAATCATCAAATTATTATCTAAAATAACAAATAAATTGTAAATAAATAAAACAAGATGGCAGTTAGCAACAGGCAAAAATGAGAATTAAGTTACACTTCATGAACATATAGTGAACTTGCAGTGACAAATCAACAAGCAAAAAGAAATCAAATTAACAAATAAATTATAAACGGAACAAAAGGGCAATAAGCAACAAGATTAAAAGATAACTATTGAACTTTCTAATTTTATGTCGTTCCTAGTATCTTTTATACCATTCTTTTAATTGGTTTTCAATACCCTTTTAGACCTAATTTCTAATATTTCATCCAGCATTGAATTGATCAGTTTTGGAATGGCTGTGTTAACCCTTTGCCCTCGGAAGGCATCTCCGAGATGACATCATGGAGTATTCTCTCCACACGGGCACCTTAGAGCGGTGGCTGGTCCTACAGGTCGGAAGGCATATCTGAGATGGCGTACTGGCTCGGAGGATTGGCGCGCTGCGCTCCATCTGCTCGGCCATTATTTCGCTGTCTGGGAAGGAGACGCGATGCACTTCATTCTATTGGCATTTTATTTTATATCATCTTGTATTCGTTAGTAATTTGTCTCATCGTGAACTAAATATTTGAATATTTGTTTCTAAAAAAGACAGAAAGTTTTCTTAAGCATGGAAAATTAAATACTAAATACGTCTACATTTGCTTTTACATTTATTGACTGTAAAATATATTAAATGAACAACTCAGTACAATGAGAAAATAAGAATTATTTTATTAAAATAAGAATTATATTTTTATAAACAAACACATTTTAATTTGCTTTGAACTTTTTTTCGTGTGGAATAGATCTGAACATTCTCCAGGGTGGAGGGCCAGATTGACAGGACAAGTATGGTAATAAAAATTTGTTGTTTTCTTTCCTCATTTTCTGACGCTGCAGACTCTGCCGTCTCTATTTCTCTTTTACAGTAAATGGCATGAAATTTGCCAATATGTCATCTAAATTAAAAGAATATCACATCACTGCTGAGTTGTTGTACCTCCATTCTTTTACTAGTTGGTGTATTAGCTTGTTTCTAAAGTGTGTCTCTCGTAATTCTTCCGGAAAAGCCTGGTTGAACAAACGGTAGGCGTTATTTATTGCTACATCCAGCAGCCAGAAGAATACTTTCTCTACCACTTTGCACTTTACGCCCGAAAGCGTACGACGTTGCATAGTGATCGGCTATGTCAACCCCTCCCACGAATGTATTATATTCACATACAGCAACAGGTTTCTGAATTTCACAGTCTTCCCATAAGCCACCACAATTATGTTTCTGCACTATGGTCTAAAGTTTATTATCATAATAACTACTTAATGTCACAACTATTCGTTGATATTTCTATGCAACGTCAGACATTTTTGATGTTCTCCTAAAAAAACATATCTAAAAACACATTTTTTTAAACATTTCTGGGTTTCATCTCAGCCAAAATGCCTTTTCTAACGGTATTCACAGTTCCTGTCAAATGTACACCCAATTTAAGTAGTTCCAGTAACAGTTGTGGATAGTTTGCAGATTGTTTTGATCAACTTCAAAAAGGGAGTATTCCGCAATAAGTTCAATATTGTGGATTGGGATTCAGAATCAGCCATTATACATTTCACTGGCAATAGGATTGTAAGATCGCGAAAAGTCCTCTATTTGATCTTTACTGAGCGTTCGAGGGTTCCACAAGAATGTGTATAGGTCGTGTTTAGCGATGATGTTGTTCCTCTTAGTTATTAAATGTTTTTAAAAAGTAACCCAGAAATGAATTTGAGCTTTCGAAAAAGCGCTGAAAAATTAAGAATTTTACTGGTATATTTCTGTCATTTCCGCTCTGCTTATTCGCAGCCCAAAGGTGCGCAAATCTGGTATTCTGAAGAAGGCATCCGCATCCCCGTCAGCGTCGGCATCGCCGTCGGCGCTGTCTACCCAGCCGCCACCTCCCGCGCCTGCTGCCTCTCCGCCCGCGGCACCGCGGGTGAAGACGGAGACAGCAGCCCCCTCTCCCCTGCACCCGCCTCCGCCACCCGCGTCACAGGGACGCCAGTCGCCGTACACGAACAGCGGCAGCCCGGGAGCCAGCGCCAGCGCCAGCGCGGGCGTGTGTGCCGGCCCCACGCCTAAGGCGCCAAAGAGCGTCATCGAGCGGGTGCCTAGTGTGCCGGCCAAGGGGCTCGACCTGTCGATAGGCGCTGCGACGCGCGCCGTGCTCTCCGGCAGCCCCACGAAGCTGAAGGGCGGCTCGGAAATCAGTATCATCCCCATGAGCGGCCCGGGGCGTCCGCCGCCTTTGACGCCGCCGCCCGTGCCCACAGGTCCTCCGTCGGCGCCGCCTGCCGCGCAGTCGGCAGCAGTGTCCGCCGCTGCGGGACTGCCGCTTATTAACATCCCCGACTGCAATCAGTGTCACCCCCGCCACTTGCCCCCTCCGCGCCCGCGCCCGCGCCTGCGCCGTCGGCCGCCGCTCCGGCGCGTCCATGAGTCTAAGCAACGCATCCTCCTGACACGGAAATCAGCGGACAGGCCCTCGCACGCATACACCGCAGTCAGCCCTCCCGAAGACGAGGGTATCGAGGTCATCGAGATTACCGAAGCCCCCGCCGCGACATCGCGCCTTGCCCTGACACCCAAGGAAAAACCTCAGCTCCTCGACCCGACCCCGCGATGCCCCCGTACCCCATTCCAGCCACCTATGCACCCTCCCACGTCGCACCCACCCAGCCCAATCCAGCAAGCGCACTCGCACGCGCCCGCCGCGCATGCGGAGACAGACGCCGCCACCACGCTGCTCACCCAGATCATCACGACTCGCTCTCCAACTACCCCAACTCTGGCACTCGAGCTCCGAAGCGTCAGCGTCAGCGCCAGCACCTGCGCCTGCGGGGCGGGGTGCGTCGTCTGCGAGAGACGCGCCGCCCCAATCGGTTCACCATCGCTCGTGATCCAGCGACCGCGCGCGGCTCGCCCCCCAAGCAGCCCCTCCCAACGCCCCCGCCCCATTCCCTGCGAGCGGAGCGCTCGGGCAGAAAACATACGAGCGCCCGCAAGCGCCGACCGCCGAGTGTCAGTCAGCTAGAAGTGGACCGCTTATGAAGGAACTCATCGAGTTGCAGGCCATATAACGGAGAAGAAGGAGGCCCGGCGCCGCCCCCGCCGAGCCGCCCAAATCTCTTCAGCCGTGTAGGGGTGCCGCTGCGCTCCACGGCGCGGTAGTCGACGCGCGGCGGTCGGGTGCGGCGGCGGCGCCTGGGCCGGAGCAGGCGCGGCGCTGACGACTGCGTCGCGCGAGCCGACGGACGTTACCCCGCTGCCGCGCCTTGCCACCGCCGCCGCCCGCCCCTCCGCGGCCGCAGCAGCAGCCGCCGCCGCCCGCTGCCGCACCGGCGTGCGCTGAGTGGCCCCCGCCCCCGGAGCGCGGCTATCTCGCGGCTCCGCGCTACGCCATTCTTTCCAGGAAGATTCGCAGAAGCACTTCCGGAGTGCGCCCCCGCAACAAGACGTCCTTCTAAAACGCGGGCACCGGGCTCACGCCCAAGAAAGTTTTGGATGAGGATCAACGCCTGCCGCTCCTGTAGCCTCGACCTTCTGTTCTTTATCCCCGCCCCGCCCCGTGCCGCGCCGCGCCGCGACGCGCCGCGACGCGACCGAATGTATATAACACGCCACTGCCTGTGCCGCATTCCTGTACATAGCGCTAACTAGCGGCTGTAGAGTTGTTATTTTTGTAATGTTAATGAACCTGTTGAGATATCCCGCTGGGACAATCCTGTTATTAAGATTGCCCGATCTGACAGGCTGTTTGCATGTATGTATGTGTGTGTGTGCATTTGAATGAATGTGATTTATGAATAAAGTATACACTGAGCATTTTTATACAATTGTCTTGTGTGCGGTGCTTCCAAGAAAAGGAAATGTTATACAGGTGAAATAAAAGTTAATGTTAATGTTAGGAAGCATACTAATTAGCAAGTAATATTTCCTAAGCTTATATATGAAATTGTGCCTTTTCCCATTTCATTGGTTCCTGACATCGTTTCCAGATTTGTGAGAAGACATTTTGACATGTAGGTATTTTGTGGAAACTGATCTTTTTTGCCACATTCTTTGAGACAAGAAGTTCTAAAAAAAAGTTTGTAGTTAGCAATACTTAATTTCTCAATGTTTTCTCATCCTTTTGACCAGTTCTACTCAAAGTTGTTGAAACTGGAGTTTTTGGAGATTCTAAGCCAGTTATAAAGAAGTGTTTCGTTGTAAAATTTGGAGAATTAATATTACACCTCATTAGTTATTTCAGAATTAATTAAATTATCACTCACAAAATGCCATAACTTTTTTTCTTTTTTTAAATTTTTATTGCAGTAAAATTTGATCTCACTATGCAAGCATTTGATGTAAATTGAAAAGAAGAAAAAAATGACCATATATAGGCAATGTCTTGCATTTGTTTTGAAATATTACTTGAGAATAGAAGGAAGAGAAGATGTGAAAGGTGGAGATGTCCTAGTACTCTGCCAAAGAATATTTTTCACATTTAAAGTTTTTTTAGTTTCAAAATTTTGCTTACTGATGTGATAAATATAGTAACAAAGCTTTAGTCTTTTTTCCCAGAAGATATGTGACATTCTTTTTCAGTATCAAAATTTTTATGATTGTTCCTAATGTGTGTCACGCTATTGCCATTTGTTTCCTTGGTACATTTTTATTAAATCTTTGTTTGATAAATTACTCCAAGAATGGATTGAGCTCATGATTATTTAACCAGTACTTATTTGATTTGTGAATTATATTTCAAAATTTGAAGATAAATAACCTTGTGAGAATCTTTCCTTAAAAAGAATTGTCTAAATTTCAGAATCACTCTTTCTTGTAATCAATGCATCATGTAGGGTTAGCTGTAAGTCTATTATTAGATATTGTGCAAATGATACAATGGCCAAATCTGTTCACATCATGAATTTTAGAGAGAAATTTATCTGGAAATTCATTATTACATTCAACTTGTATTTTTATACCTTCACATATCTTATATCGTATGCGGTATCTGACAATCAGACTAAACATGGCTTTTAATTTTCTTTTCTTGCAGTTCTTAATTTTTGGTGTGATTACGCAAAACAATGAATTTGGTATATTCACAAGAATTGTGAATTAGCACATAATGATTTTTTTTTAACCTAGTACATCATGAGTAACATTATCTTATGAACTGTCATTATGTTTAACTTTTCATCAGTTTGAGAGTGGCATTGAAACTTGACTGCTAAATTTACAGAAAAAAATCATTGAGAAGTTCTTCAAGAAGATGAAATAGCAGATTGTTGCTCATTGAAAAAGGATTGTATTTATAATAAGGCTGTAGCAAAAAGTTTTATTTGAAAAGACCTTGCTGTTGATACTTGTTTTTCATGTAGGTTTAATACTAATTTATTTGCAGCATTAATATAAATCTTGTTATGCTGTCCACATTTTTTAATGTTTGTGTAATATGCTCTTCATCTCTCTTGGTAACAATATTTTAAAAGTTAAGCTTCTTGTCTAGTTTCTCAGAACATTAAGTTTATATTCTGAAAAGTTTTTAAAAAAAAATTGAACATTCAAAATACTTGCTGGATTACATGATTCAACAGTATGTGTGACTAAAAACTACTAAAATTAATGCAACTTGATTTGCATGCCAACATAGCAGTCATCATTAATTCCGAAGTAGTGTGTTAATGATTCTAACTTGTTAAGACATTGATCAGAATTCTAGTAAATAGTAATAAATAAAGTTTAGGATATACAATGGGCTGTAGTTATGGGAGAAATTTTGGGAAAAGTGAGTTACCAGAAGAGGCATTACTTTCTGATATGTTTGCAGTGAGTATTGTGATCATCGGAAGTTACATGTTGACACTGTGAATATATACAATTTAGCAGTCTCGTATTCCAATAAAGTGGTTGTAGAGTTCCATATGTGGATCGGAGTTATCCTTGAAGTTGATTCAATATTTCGCCGTCACCCCTCTTTTTTTATTTTCTTTATTTTTATTTTTACGGAAAAGTTTGCGACGTACTCCATTTGATGAAGTCGCCAAGGTTAATCAAGTGTTCGCAAGTTCTTTCGCTTATCATACGGCTATTGAGATACACAACAGCATATAATTGCAATGAAATGTATGTGCTTAGTTAATGGAGAAACTGGGCAATATTCTAGTAGTCACTTGTGCTTAATTTTTTTTATTAGTCAGGCTCGAGAATGGGCTTGTCTTATGGGCATGAGGAGGAGGGGATAAAGGATTTCATTTTTCATGTGTCCCTAGCAGCAGCGTAACGAAATGAGTTCGGACGGTCCCGCGCACGTTTTCTCGAGCCCTCGCTTAGCTAGATGCGTGGGGAGTTTGGTTATTTTGGCAGGGAATTTTACGTCGAATCTGTAGTTAATTTTTCCATGCAAAATAGTAAATACACGGGAGCGAACATTCCTCGTCTCTAGATTTTTGTCTATAATACTCATTACTATCATTTATTCTTATGTTGGGAAAGGAGTGGGGGTAGATATTTCGTGGCTCAAGAAAAGTGCGGATATAATACATTTATCTGGGCTTTTTTTTTATATATATAAAAAGTGGATAACAAACAAGTAACGTTAGTGCCTTAAATAATTTAAAAAAAAGTAATCCTTTATCAAATCTACATTGCACATATCTACACAATCGTAAAACCTGGCGTTCACAATTCTTACAAACTCTACATCTTCAGCCTGACAAAGACCCTCTGTCATCTGGACCCGGACTTTTGGTTTGACGAGAAAACAATGTACTATACGAACACGTATTCTTGATATTCCACAGCGTGGAGAAGAGTGCCTAAAATGGCGTATCAACTTTGGGCATTAACTTTACTCACCAAAGCGTGCCACAAGAAAGGCTACAATTGTTTTGAAAATACAATGTGTTAGTTACCGGATTTGTAAATTGGTACGTACTGTTCCCAGTGGAACCTCATTATATGAACATGCCGTGCCATTCAGCGCTGGGTGAGGACTAGGGATCTCGTGTATCAAGAAAACTTGCGCGAATAATACATATTGTCGGTTCGGTCTGCCAACGTTCGGAATCTAAGTAGGTATTATTAGCATTCAGTGTTTCCAACATGATTAGGACGACTCAAATATCGTGGGAAATGAGGCAGTCGCTATACAGTGGTGTCGTGAACAGCCGGATATATACTCTCTAGTGACAATTGTTGAGCCATGCCTGTTCGCGTTACATCATAGATTCTCACGGTTCACGACCGTGTATTTATGTAAAAATGAAAAAAAAATTATAAAACGAAAGCCCGGAACGTCATCGATTACAGGTCGCCACCTTGCCGCCCAGGAGCAGGAAACACGTGCGCATTTGACATTCAAAACTCGATTTTCAAATAAACAATAGTTAACACACAAAAAGCTACATTCTATATAATGTTTATAAAAACGAATTTGTACAGAAGGGCAAACTAGCACTGCACTTCTTCATTTCAACTATTTCTCGTCAATAACTATATTTTCGTCGGACAGGGCATGACAAAAGGAAGCGTCGAAGCCTTTTATAAGTTAGCCAACTGCATACGAACGAATGAAGGAAAGCCACAGAACTAGCAGTAGAAACTGTCCATTATAAAAATTGCTCTATGCTGAAATGCCATGTGCGGATTGTGGAGCATTATTAACTGCTACTGGAAACTATTGAAAGCCAACGGCGCCCCCTTACGTCGTCGTCTCTCATGCAATAGTTTACGCCAAAGTGATTTGTACAACCATCTCATAGAGTATTTTTGGCGAATAGATTGCAAAAGGATGGGTGGAGGTCCAAGTATTATAATTTTTAACTATTTTGTACACCAATATTTTCTTTCATTGCTTTCGGTTAGAGAAGATTACGTTATAAGGTCATTAATCGATGTACATGTTCTTTTCACACGAATACAAATGTGTGTAATTTCCATAAATTGGTTGTTGCATTGTGCAGAACAGCATGACTTGTTCGCGGGTTGGTGTTAAGAAGACGGGTGCAATGCGCCTCGTCCCCCGCGGAAAGAATATCCCAAAAATGTTTGTTAATCGCGAAGGCCGGGACCTAGTTATGAACTTAAATACCTAGCGAAGCGTCATACTTGACAAGTGTTCGCCAAAAGTAATGCGGTGGACAGGCTAATATTATGCTTCAATTTTTATTTATGTCCTAAGGCCACGCACAAAACAGGAGAGGGAAAGCAGGCCAATAGGGTGCCGTAAAAGTGGGAGCTGTAGTGACGTTGCTGCTT